TATAAAAAAATAAATTTTGCCCAAAGTATTTGGGCAATTTCGGCTACTAATAGAAGCAGTTTCGGCCAGAAACCTTATGTGTGTTGAACTATAAATAACCTATTAAATAGGAAACTCAGATTGCACGCTTGCAATATGTCCAGTCACTCTGTTAAACAAGGGTCATACTGCACTTTTTTTCCCAAACAAATAAAAAAAAATAAAAAATGAAAGGGTAATACAAGAATTAAATTTAGTACAACAAACTTGTTTATTTCAGTGTTGCAAATTGTCACCAATTATTATTATGAGGAAATAAAATAATTGATGGCAATAAAAGGATTGGGTAGATCAGATTGAATAAGGATTCATCAGTGGATGGTTTGAATTATAATTCATCAAGTCATAACTTGTTCTTGATCCAAGGTTTGTCAGATGATTGATTTGTTAACTGAAAAGTTGAAATTGTTATTTTTGAAGGCAGATGAATTTCAGTGTTCTTTTTCAAATGAGCTATGCGTCACAGTAGTGATGTTAGTTGCCAAAAAAAAAAAATTTTTTTCTCTTAACATTCATTTTTACATCTAGAATTTTAGTGTAGAATACAGTGGCATAGACATTTAGTTGAGATGGAACCACATGCATTACTTAGAATGACAAAAAAAACATAAATTTTCTCAAAAAACAAAATACAATAGATCATTGCAGGATAAAAATCAATAGAGTCCTATTTGTAATTATTTTAACTCAAATTATTATTATTCATTTTATTTCTTTATTCAAATGTAATTCAAATACTCAAATTCATAACGAATGAAACAAATAATTCAAATAAACCTTATTCGAACCAATGGAGACGAGATATTATAATAACAATAATAAATAATAGTAATAATAGTTATAGTAATAGTAACAATAGTAGTAGTAATAATAGCGGCAAGCTTAGTACCATCTGAAAAGCATTTTCATTAATTGGGATTTATTTGTTTTTGGTCAGCTAAGAGTTGTTTGGCTTCATCAGGAAAATAAATCTCATGTAAACCTACATAGGGTTTAAAACTGACCAGCATTGTGCGGAAATGTTAACATAATTACCAAAATACCAACATAATGCTGGCCAATTCTGAACCCTATGTAGGTTTATGTAGGATTTATTTTCCTGATGTTAACCGGCTAAGATTATTCTACTGGCTAACATCACTACCCCATAGATTATAACTTTCCACCAAATTAATACATGTCAACTGTAAGCTCTGTCTCTCGTTTGCAATGCTTTGAATGAAACATTTTCAACAACAATGATTCCGCTTTCCAGTTTATTCATGACTTCCTCTTCTTCTTCTGCAGCCTTCTCTTTTGTAACCACTACTTTCGTATCTTCTCTCTTTTGTAGTGCAAATAATTACTTCTTAGCTGAGCCAAGGACTTTTTGGTTAAGTTGAAATCTGGCATTGGGTGCTGGTACTGATGAGTGTGATGATACAAGATATCCATGCATTTAAAAAAATTTGAGAAGGGACGAAAAAAAACTCTCGTGAATTTATTTGATATAAGATTAATTATTATACAATGATGATTTATAAGAGGATTTGCATAAATAAATTAAACACGTAGTGATTCAGAGTTTGTTGCAAAAACACAAGGCTGGGAAAATTCTTCACGTCATAGACCATACATATTCCAATGCACGTATTAAAAAAACAAAACTCAATGGGGACAAACTTTATTATTATTTTGCTACAATAGATGCAAATAATTGGTTTTTCGAAAAGTTTTCACTGACCAATTGCTCATTTGAGTTACGTGGTCAGCCCTAGTTGAAATCGGTACTATCCTTTTTTGAAAAAAACTCTTTTTAGAAATTCTCAGGTTTCAACTTGTTGTAAACAATAACATCTTTTCTCTTCTTCGCAGAGATCATAGTAGAAGAGCGGATAGGATGTGTGCAACTAGTAAAAACTCTGTTTTTTCAAACCTAATTTTTTGGGAAGAAATTTTTTGTCTACCTTATTTTTCTGATTATTTGATGATCTGTCCTTTTTTCCATGTGATAAACTGTTTATCGTGCAACAATAAAACTTTTTCCGAGTGATAATGATATTAAAATGGTATAGGAAAAAATTAGTATGAATAAATTTTGTTTATTCTACATTTAAGAAAAGCATCGATTTATCTTTTGACAATAGTTTTTTGAATTTTATGATATTTGAAAAATTTTCGAAAATTTTCTCAATACATGCAACTCTATCAATTTCTAACTAATTTTAATCATCTTTTTTTTATTTTGTTCATTATACTTTAAATTCTTTTATGGAGTTTTCAGAATTATTATTATTATGTGGGATATTTTATGGGACAAAAAAAATTCTTGGGAATCAACATTTTTAAACGATTTTAAGAATTTACATATCACCCAAAAACTATATTTTATTAGATTATAAATATTAATGGAA